TATGACAAATTTTTTAACTACTTATGTGAGCATATGAATATAGTCGGATAAATAAATCCGAACTTTAAAAATAGTGTCAATAGATATCACATCAAAATTTATTTTACGCGTCATTTTTGCTATTATAACGATATACATTTAACTTTTTAGGTTCTCCTGGCATTTGGTTACTTGATTGTTGGATTTGCGTTGAGTTTTGCTGTGTTATTTCACGGAAACAATCAATTTGACGATTTCTGGAGAGCTATCGTAAAAACTGTGGTAATGATGATGGGCGAGTACGAGTATAATGAGCTATTCGAAAGCAATTTTCTATCGGTAACAAGTAGAATCGTGTTTGTCGTCTTCATCATGCTTGTCAGTATCGTTCTGATCAATCTCATGATCGGTCTGGCGGTCAACGATATTCAAGGTCTCGAAAAGGAGGTATGATATATAATATTTAGAAATAAAAGCGGATCTCATTCCGTTCAATATAGATATCCTCTTAATTGCTAAAAGCTAAGCTATGCATGTATAACGAATATGAAGATTAGTCAAGATTAATCAGCATTGGAATTAATATTATCATATTAGGGCCACATACGTCGATTATTGAAACAAGCGGAGTTTGTCGCACATTTAGAAAGGGTGACATCACATCGAATCTTTCGTAGCAATTGGCTACATCCCCGTTTAAGAATGTTGTTGCACTCGAGACGCGATATTCCCACAAAAATTACGCTGGTCTCTCGTGAAAATTATTTTCATCATATGAGTCATTTTACGGAAGCGCCTCCTAAGATTTCCGTCGATCTAATAGAAGCCTTATTTTTGTTAGCCACCAAGAACAATAAGTATGGATTATACAATTTATGCAAAATATATTTTTTCGTACTTGCAGTATCGGAAATTGAAACTGTTTAACGTATAGCGCCGTATTATTTTTTAGTTTAACGGATGAAAACATAGAAACTGACGATATGAAGCTGACTTCCATACTAACCAATTTAGAAGAACAAATCTGGGAATTGAAAACACATTGTGTGTACAACTATCGTAATTCGACAGATCGAAGATCGTCGAAACGACACGGACTCAAAAGAAAACCTGTCCAAAAAAGATTTATAAATATTTAATACATTGCATGTACTTGCAACATTATAATTTTTCTTAATATGCTAGTTGTTAGCCTGTAGGCAACAATATTTACGATCATTAATTAAACTGCTATACAAAAATTTAATTTTACCTTATTACTACACTTACAGAAAAATGTACTAAATTTTAATAAATATTTGTTTAAACAATGTTAGTTGAATATTTATTAAATATATATTTATTTTACAAGAATCACAAATTTAATTTAATTATTATTATTTTTTATTTAATAAATATTTATTTTCCGTAAATAAATGTTATATCAGTACTATTCAAATAATTATTTATTAAAATTTAATACATTTTTTCTCAGTGTACGTATCACATTTATTAATATAAAACAACATATTTTCTATAGAATAAAATTTCGAAAGCGAAATGCACTTGCACAACACTTACATAATGGTAAGTCAGCGATCCGTCTTATCTTCTCAGTAAAATTAGGTCTAAAGAGATCTAACAGATATATCATACAGATGTCACTACGAAACTAGTTTAAATCATTCGAATTCTTTGCAGTTATCCGCCTGGAATCTATAATTATGATTCATATCAAGCATTTAACGAATTTTAATTTGCTCGGTACAATTAAATTTTCATTATTTTTTCACATTGTTGATTTTATATGTTATTGTCTTTTCTTCTATCATTCAAGCAACGACGATTTCGATACGTTTATGATATTAAAAACATAAAGAGACCTGAGTCCTATTTTTAATTTCATTAAAACATAATTTAGAGTGACGATCAGGCGAGATCTAAGCGTAATTGATAAAGCTGAATTACGCAATAATTAACGATATTAACGGTATGTAAAACGCTAGATCGCGTCGTTTCGTCGCGTTCAACGTAATGTTCGAATGCGACACGCGCTGTCGTACCTCTGGATATATTCCGGTATTAAAGATTTTTTTATTTTTCAACCATGATATGTATTTAACTGGCGGGTTTTGCGTGTTCACGTCTCCATATATCCGACTACTAAATAGCCGCGCGTATTACTCGCGATGTAGCAGCAGCAACAGCAGCAGCAGCAGCCGAGAATTACGCAGCCGAAAAATATTGCGGAGCATAAATTATAAGCCGGATAAGTATATTTGCAAAATGTACGCTCTTTCCCAACGGTATATGGTATGGCAGCAGCAAACTCCCACTATAAAATGTACAATTTTGCTGTCTTACTCGTTTCTAGTATTTCTATTTAATCCTTTATTACGTATAGGAGCTGGATAATAATTTTATAGAATTCTACTAATGATGTAACGAGAGATAAAAATCTATATCATAAAAAGTACACTAAGAAAAAAAAATATATATATATATTATATATATATCCTAAATTTTATTAAATATTACTCTGAATAATAAACTAAATAATAAATATATATATTTTTATTCAAATAAATATTTATTGAAATTTAGGATATATTTTTTTCTCAGTGAATTTTATTTAAATTCTATTTCATAATGTAATCAAATTATACTTTATTACATCATATACAATGAATCGCAATAGAACGAATATATATCGAAATGTTTAAATATTCGCACTCATTTTTAAGCGTATATTAATCATGCAGTAGTCAGTGCTACGATAGATCCATTGCATTCGTAAAGTTTGCGAGACTAATTAAAAATTCATTAAAATTATGAAAGAGCTGCACTCGTAGAGTGATGCGGCTAAAATTTAGTTTAGGCGACGGTGTAAAAAGGAACAACGGCGGCAAAAAGCGAGAGTCGAAAAATTCGCTGAAAGAGACTCGCGAGAGGAGGCCGGCTTTCATAGACGATGCGAATTTAGATGCTTTCATGACGTATTAAATTCGCTTGTATGTCGGGATTCATGTATATGTTTCAACGGCGTTTCAGCGGCATGCACCGCGATTCGGCGGAAAAAGAGCGTCGGAAACATGCGGCGCTGTTTTCTCTGATTTTGTGTTGGAAACACGGGCTATTCCGGATTTTCCCTCTCGACTTGTACATAATTTTTAGAAATGCAAAATGTGCACACTCAATATGATCTCTCTGCATGAACTACCATACAAGAGGAAGTACAGAGGAAGATTTATACGTGGCAATACCCTCTTCTCTTTATCGCGCGCACAAATCGTATTGGAAAAGTAGATATAGTATGACTATTTCAGTAAAATTGTATTAGATAAAAAAAAAATCCTTAAACATGTAATTTTTTTTTTAAGAAATCTGCAGTTTCTTAAATTCATTGATGAATGACTTATAATATTCATTTTCTATAACAGCATATAATTTTCAAACAAATAAATTGAAAAATATAGGAGTCAGGCGTAGAAATTATTGCGCAAAATTAGTTAATTAATAAAATAAGTATAATATAAACATGCACTAAAAAACAAAACGATATAATTATATGTATGTATACGTTTTGAGTCTTTTCAGATCACTATTATTAACAAAAATAATCCACTTGTAGATCGTAATGAATCACTTTTAACTGTTGGAAGTATCGTTCACATACACTGTTAAATCTGTAGTGTCAAATTTAACTTGCGTGAGTCGTTATTGCTCCTATTCAATCATATCGTTATTTTACAATAAAATAATGATTATATTTGACATTACACAGTGTCAAATTGGCACGATATAGTGTCAAATTTAATTATCGTTTTAGTAAAAAATAACAATATATTTAGTAGGAGCAATGGCGATTCATATTAAGTTAAATTTGACACTACAGATTTAACAGTGTACAGAAAAATATCATTCTATTGTTAAGAAAAATGATCCATTACTTTCTTATTACAAATTTTAGAAAAATTCATTATCATGTACTCAAACAAGAATTAATATTCTTTTAAAGAATAATATAAAATTAATCGAAAAAATTATTTTATGTAATAAGCAATCTAAATTTGTTTTAATTTAGTAATCTTGTTTAAAGAATTAAACTCACTAGGTTTTTCAGAATATATTTTAAACAAATTTGATACTTGTGGTGGACTTATGATAGATTCACGGATATTATGAACTTTTCAAATACTTGAAAGAAATAATTATTATATACTTGCGTATAGTATGTATAATATTTTTCTATGCATGCAGTTGGACAATCGCGTGGACAAAAACCTCTCGATATGCTAAAGATTTCTTTTACTAGTTAAGCCACGCGCATTGTGAAAATTAACAAAATATTTAAAATTGAAAGTAACTCACCCCATCAAAGACCCAAATCGCATAGACACATAATTATCACAGCGTGTGCATTTACATTGACAATAAGTTTACTCAGTAACGTTCATAGTCTAATATTTCGTGTGTCGTATGACAAAGATTTCAAGCCTGTTGTTTGGCTGCAGGACAGAAAGATCCGAGAACGTTTCTGTTCTACAACCAATCAACAGGCTTAAAAATTCTTGTCGTACGACACATGAAAAAGCAGCTTTAGGTATCTTTTCGACAATATATTAATTAAACTGAAATTTGTTACGACGAGCGGTAGCGGACATAAATTATCATAAATATCTATGTTCTTCCGTGGCTAAAGAAATCATGGTGTACACCTGCCCTAATAATTTCAGACGCACGTTCGCGTGCTCGTGTTGGATAATAAATTCATAACGATTCCGCCATTTTTATTTTACAATCAATGAATATATTACTCGATAAGTTTCTCAATTCGATAAGATATTACAAGATAAGAAAAAAGAAAATTCACCTAATAGTGAAAAAAAAAACAACTCGCCTGGCGAACAAACGCGATAAGTGTAATAACCAGCGACATTTACGAGCACGACCGGTGTGGTGACAAACATGCGCGCGCGCGCGAATCTTGCAAGTAAAGCTTGACAAAAAAAAATAAGAAAAAGTCGTTTGGATTTTCTCACCTTAGTCGAGTAGGTACACGATAACCTGGATAATTCGTCAAGAGATAGATGTAGGACGTCATTCGCGATTTCTTCATGAAATGAAACTACGTAGAGATACGAAAGGAAGATGACAACGGCAACACGGACACATTCGTGATGGTGGTAGTGGTGGCGGCGGCAACGGCGGTGGCGGCGGTAGTGGCGGCGACAGAACGGCGGAGACGGAGACGGCGCCGAAGCGACGTTCGGGCGAGATCGTAGCCCGTCGGGTAGAGTCGGTTCGCCGCCTTGCCTGTGCTTGCCTGCCATGACTGGCTGAGCGCGGCATCGCGGGGGAGCGAGGTGGCGCGTCGGCGAGGGAAACCGCCGCTGTGAATCCGGCGTCGTGATTGGTCGTCGCGTGGGAGAGCCGCCCGCCCGAGCTCACCGTCGCCGACAGTCGGCACCGAGCATTCAAGTAGGCCGTATCGAGATACATTCGGCGTCGGGTCGAGAGATAACAGATATACGGCGGGAACGACACCGGACACGCACGCAATCCTCTCGAACATTTTTGCTTTTACACGCACGGGCACGATGACTGCTCGGCGCGTGCACCGTTCGCAACAGCAAGAGCAAGAGCAACAATTAGAAGAACAACGACAGTGCCGTAGTTGTCGTCGTGGTGCCACATTAGTCGCGCGTCGTCGTGTCGATTGTACGGGCCCGTTGACGGAATCGCAGTATCGTGCGCTCGCGGAAACGACGTGGCCGCCGTCTTTGTGCAAATATGCTACGTGCAAGCCGAGCTCGCGGTGCGCGCACTGAGGGGTCCACCCGCAGCTAACGTCAAAAAGAGAGAGAACCGAGTGCGGGGAGCGAGATCGCGAGTGCCGAGTGGAGAGAAGGAACAACGCGCTCCACTCTGCGCATTAATACGTCACGGCCTGTCTGCCTGTCTGCCTGCCTGCCTGCCTGCCTTCTCATACAGTATACAGTAATACAGTATACACCACCTACCTCTCTATCCGTCGCATCTTCCTTCTTCAACGCTTCTCTCTTTCTCTCTTGATCATCCTACGCCACGATCTTCACGCCCTCCTCCTACTCCTGCGGTAGCGGCGACCTTCCCACGCGTATCTCTCTTTCTCTCTATCTCTATCTATCTCCAACAACGCAACGCCGCGCCGACCGGAAATTAAACTCGCGCGCGAAAAGCGCGGCCGTGTGTCGCGCGACGAAGCGCGGAGATCAACTCGCGAGAGGCGCGCCCGGCCGTCTCGTTTCGTCGTTGTCGTCGTCGTCGTCGTCGTACCGTCGGCGAGACGTTGCGCTGAGTGTTCTCATCTGACTCAAGTAGACGCCGCGCCGAGTTCGGTAAGTTTGGTGAGCTCGTTGAGTTTAGTACGGCAGGGCCGACGGGAATCGTGATACGCCGCGAAGAAATCCGGCTCTTTGTCTCGCGAGTCAAGTGGTGCGGCCTAATCTCGTCGTTCAACTGTCAGCGCGCGACCAGTGACGGTGAACGGTTCTTTCTGTGTGCTACACAAGTTCCAAGTTCTCTCCGATCATCCATTCGTGCGCGGCAACGATTCCTCTCGTTCGGACGCGCGTTAACGAGACCCCGAATCGAATGTGAACAGTGATTCTGTTGAATTCCCGTGGTCGCGATCGGTGAATCTCATTTTGAAATTCTAGTGCCAACGAATCGCGCCGTCGGCCGCCGTTCGAAATCATTGCCGACGGCGACGGACAACGTTCCGACTTTTTGAACCTCCTCGCTGTGAACTTGTCGCACCTGACCGCCTGCCCGACGGAGAAACACGGAGTCGATTGGCAAGTAAAGGAATACGAGAGAAGACAGGGAAGACGGTGGCCGTCGCTCGCGTGCCCGCAATAATGCCGCACGTGAGCAGCAGCGGCGGCGGCGACGATCTCGGCAGCGAAGACGAGGTCAAGGTCTTCAAGGATGAGGGCGAGGAGGAGAAGAGGTCCTCGGAGAACCTCACCGAGGACAAGAGCGATCTCATTGATCTTACCGAGTCTGAGGTGCGGATCATTTCGTCATACATTTTCCTTCTTCTCCATTATTGTGTGATATTTTCGTGTTTCGCGATATATACATTTCCTTCCAAATATCCCAGTAGTCGCAAGGACGCAGGCATTAAGTGCGTGCATGTGTGTTGCAGGAAAAGGGCACGCTCGCCGGAGGGACCTACGCTACGGGAAAAACGTCGGCGAGATCCGACCTCAGTCCCGTTTTCGGTAAGTCTCTTGTTTTTTTTTTTCTCTCGAACTTTCCGGGATTTATTTGTTTAGACCTTTTACGAGAGCCACATGTTCGGGGTTATCATAAAAACTTGAAACTCGGAGGAAAGTCTGAGAATTTTGCAATTTTCTGGAAAACTAAAATTCTTGACTTCAAAGAAGCTTAATCGCATACCTATGTAACTTTGGAATCTTAACAACTTGATAATTAAATGCAAGTAGTGTCAACGTTAATAGTAATTTACATTTTCATGTTGAATTGTTTCCTCAACGAAATATTTGACGGTTTCCGAATCAGGACGAAAATATATCAGGACTGGAAAAATTTTCCAAACACGATTGAAAGCAATGATAAAATTATGGAATTTTAGGATGAGGAATTTGTGACAACTGATCTGATATTCTCTGCTTCGTTCTTCTTATCGCGGTAACTCTGCTTCTTGGTTTTCTGTATTTTCCGCCTAGTTATGTCCGCGCGTGAAAACGTGAAAAAAGTGATGATAATTTGCCTTCGTCACGGAGAGTTAACCCTTGATATTTCGCGAACGATAGCGGGAATCATATCGACGCCAATTTCGTCGCGTGAGTTTAATTATTCGTTAGCCTTCCCTATATTCCTACCAAGTCAACGGGATCGATACATCATTCCGTTGCGTCGTGGTAAACAGCTGGCTGGAGGTCTATTTGAACGGAAGTAATGCGTAAGAGCGCTCGTGTACAAGGCATAATGTAATTTTAATTTTACAACGTATCATATTACAAAACGTCGTAAAGTTTACTTTCTTTTAAAAAAAAAAAAAGACTCCTATTTCTCTCCAAATATCTGTAAGTAATCGACGCAAAGTAAGAGTAAGAAATTAATCAATCACAGCCGATTATTCTTCTCACATTCGACTGTGATTAATCAATTTCTTATTCTTACTTCTTACTTCGTGTATTGTAGACGACGCATTACAACCTTACCACTTACAACTACGCAGTTGTAGAACGATAAGGGTCTTAAGGACCATCTACTAGGGCACACAAAAATACTTGAGCAGTAGAACGTAAGTAGTAAGCGAATTAATCAATCACAGTAGAGACTGTAAAGCCATAATGTATAAGCAGTTATAAATCCAACATGTCGATTTCCTTACTGCTCAAGTATTTTTTTTTTTTAGTGTATCATGTCCTTTATGGCAGTAGAAAGAAATTTTAAATCGTAAGAAATTGACGAATGTGAGGAGAATAACCGATTATGATCGGTCCATTTCTTACAACTTGCGGCTTATCACAATAATATTTATACCATGACCCATAAGTGGATGTTTGCGACGTGAGAATATTATAGTTGGCAGCAATTGATTGCGGAGCACGAAGGAATTAAATAATGAAGTATTAGTAAGTCAACGGCGTGGTACGACATTTCCTAATGGTATCCGCGTCTGGGCTTAGCTCGATATCGCGTCATAACGCCACACCAGGTATCTTGCGCTGCCTCGCACGCTTAGATTAACGTCATTTGAAATCGATCGCGGCACGATAAGTGCCTACTCTCGTAGCCGCTTTCACGGTCCGATGATAATCGCGTCTGTGTGCGCGCTCTGTGTCGGCTAGGGAAAATATGTGACTCGGATTCCCAGCGTATGGCTGTCCACTAGCCACGGCGCTCCTATTAATTTCCTCGCCATTACGCCGCATTACGTTGCACGTCGTCACCGTTCGAAAGGTTCTTCTCCGTCGTCGCCGTTGTCGTCGGCGCAGCGACGGTGGCCTTATTGCCCACACTCTCCCGTCGCAATAATCGCGAACGCCGGAGGCGTCGACAACGACACTTAGACGATTCTACGCATGAGAGAAAGTGAGAGAGAGAAAGAGATATGCCACGTTGCTCTTATTGGCACAACGTCAATAAAAGCTACTTTGTAAGCCGTCTCGAATCGCGTTCTCTTTCCTTCTTTTAAAGGTCATCGCCTAAACACGGCCGATTGTTGCGCGAGCAATGATTATATAGAGACGTATTAGACGAGTTTGGTAGCGATTCATGGAATCACATCTCTCTTACAAGCATTTAATGCTAGCCAATTTATTATTAAAAGACAGTAATTAATTATTTGCAGTACTAAAGGTATTGAACAGCAGTGCTTTTGATACTTAAAATAAGTACTTAGTTTTGACCAATGGATTTCTGTAAATTCAAATGTAAAAAGTGACTACAATATATGTGTATGATTAGTTTTTTCCGGAAAAATGACACTAAGATCGGTATTCATAGTTGATTTTTATATTTAAGATTGTCGTAAGTAGTCTTAAGGTGTCACGAATCAATTACAAAGTATTAGCACTTTAAGATGGTCTTAAAATAAGAACGGATACCAGTCAGAGAGCGCATTAGCATCTTAAGACATTATTTAAGACGGTTTTAAAATAAGAATAGACTATAAATAGTTTAAATGTGTAAATCTATTCTTGTATGCAGTATAACAGTTTGTTACTTTTATACGGAAAACCAATCAGAAACATATATAATATTAGTCTTTTCTTTTTTACAAAGATTTGCAGTGCAATTCATGGAGTACACATATCAAATTTATGCAGCATATACTACAAAAATTTCTATTTATCTTGATCTTATTTTGTTGTTTCATTGTCTGGATATTAAATATTTATACATATATTGGAATGCACATATCAGGCTATAACTAACTTGGAATTCTTTAGAAACGATTTTTCGAAGAATAGAAACTTAATAATACTACTAATCGCAGATCGATGCAATAATCTGATCTTTTATAAAGATGAATGGCGGCCGTGAAACGGGAGCGATAACATCGCTAAGCGCGTCGAAAAAAACTCAACTAATGTAAACAATGCAGTAAACTCAAACGCGCAACGTGTATCCTCCCATGATACTTTTTGAAATAAAATCACCAAGGCTATGAATTGTTATGTTTCTCATTCATTAAGCCATTCTTTAAACCTTGTTTCTCAATATTATCTACAGATTCTGAAATTAACGTAAGTCATTAAAAATCTGAGGCTGTGTTTTTAACCAGTTATGTTAAAGTTATTGCTAGAAGTTAAAAAAATTAGAATTAGCATTTAAAGTAAAAAACATGGTTATAATTATCAACCCTCCGTCTGCATCGCTGTTTTTTTTTTGCTAGTCGTCATGGTCTTCCTGCCAACGTCAAATTTTTTCTACTAAATCAGTTATGAAAAATCGGAAATATTTTTTTATTATTCTACATCTGTACTTTGTATTCTAAACGTTTTTTAAATTCAGATATTACATTGGGTTTTTTTTGTATAGTAAAATACAGAAGGAAACTTTGACTGTTTCTAAAAGACGATGCAAGCGGAGGATTAATGGTCATTTTTTTGTAACACTGTATAGAATTTTTCGAGGAACTCGAAATCATTTCTTCCAAATTGCTATCCTTTTTATGCTTTACAAAAAAAAACTGAAGGTTTTTTTTATATTTTGTCCAAAACGTTGCTTCAATGTCTTCTCTTCTAAAAGGTTCAAAGGTCGAGTCTACTTCGTTTTGTCTATCGTAAAAAAAGAAGTCGGAGTTTACAAGTGACAGATTCGTTCGGAACAAATCGCCTTGGCGTTTCAGTAACGTATACAATGAAGTGCGTGCCTTCCGTTCTCGTGACCACTTCTTTCTCTTTGCCACTGACAAATCGATGTCACGCTACCGTGCATGCTGTCATGCTGTTGCCAAAACATTTTAATGAGTTAACGTGGCCGTAAGTCTCCTGCCGCATCTTGTATTCGAGATGTTACAGACACGATTACGGTATTATCTGAAGAGCGTGATTATTCCGAGAGGTCTCGACTCTTAAAAATACCTCGCGCTTTATCGCTTATGCAATACGCAGCCATACGAAATTTCTGTAAATCATTCTTTATAATCGCGAATTTGATTTTTCTGTCGTTGTCACCTGTTACATTAATTATGTATATTTCTCGAAATATACATAAATTATGAATAGAAGTCGTGATCGCGTGTTATATACGTACGTTGCCCAATAGAAACTTATAGGACGGTATTCATAGTCTGTTCTTATTTTAAGACCATCTTAAATAATGTCTTAAGATACTAATGCAGCTCTCTGATTAGTTCATGACATCTCAAGATTATACTCAAGACGATATTAAATATAAGATTCAACTTATGGCCGAATACCAAGTACTTTTGAGTACAGTGAATTCGAACCTAATCTAACTTGAATTAACGACACACACACACATGCTCTACTTTGTTTAATTGAACGAGATCATGGTTCCTTCAGACCGACCTGGGTTAAGTTCAAATCCACTGCATTCGAAAACTATTCTATTATAGTTTCCATTGATTAGATTTTGTTGTCGCGCCACGGATCATTGTTTTATGTATGTGTACTTATACTATGCGGGACTACGCGTGAATATTGAGAGAGAGAGAGAGAGAGAGAGGAAAGGATTCGTTGCACTCACCGTCACAGAAAACGTGTAAAACGTTACGTCGGGATCCGTTGTAATCGCTTAAGTGGTTAATTATGGCTCTTCAAGGAAGGCCGCGCGCGAGGCTCAAGCGGAATTAATCTTGGCATCGGTCGACTTCAGTAGAGCCGCTTCACGTATTTTTTTTTTGTCGCTTGTCCGCATGAAAACTAGTTATTCAGATATGCCGAGAAAGTCGAGATTGTTTGTAACACGTCACATTCTGACGTCACTTTTAACCAAACATCACTTCTGCTTGATATATTGTACATACACGCGAATCAATGGTGAAATGGAAAGATAATATATATGATGCTCGTATTGAAACTTGTTTTTTATCATCCGTATAATTTCTGTGCTTGTAATTGAAAACAAAATATAAAATAGGAACACAAACTTGTGCATTGAAGAATTTACATTTTTTTATATTGGAATTTTTGTTGCGCGCGACTTGATATATTTTTTTGATTATGTAAAACTATTACCTACAGTGTCTGTCGATGCTGTGAAAAAAATATCAGGGACA